CTTCATAATCGCACATATTTTGAACCATCAGATCAAAATCCATGCGCTCTTGCTCGTCATCGAAATGGTAAGGTCCTGAGCGATGGGCAAGTGCAACTGTGACGAAGGCAGAAAACAAAACGGCAAATTTCATGGTGATGATGTAGTTACTTTTACGAAACTGCCCTTCAAAGTCAGTTAGATGTATAGGGTATATATATTGCATCAACTAAATCAGATCGTCCATAGTCACTTTCTATCCAATCTGCGGACATCCATTGATTACACTTTTTAGTTATGCCGGTTGAAAATGGAAACGGGAAGATAGCCTTTTGTGTTTGGTGTGCCACTTTTTAATCTTGGCGAGGAAGGTCCAGCTAGGAGATTTAGGTAGTTGAATGAGACATTTGAAGCTACCTAAGCAGTAATAAACAACGGCAAGGTATAATTGATATAAAAAGATAGATCAAAAAATGTGTATAACCAAACATTCAAAACTTTGGATAAGATCAATTCTCAAAACTGAAAATACACATGGGTATTTTTGTTAGCTGATTGAACTCCCCAACTCATCATCTCTACACAGGTGATGATTTTTCTGTTCTGTCGTCTCGACACATTCCAAGGCAAGAACATTATCAGATTGGTAAACTTCTTGCACAATCATTCCATTCTCCGTACAGTTTTTTCCAAATCCTGCAACATCCAAATTACGCCGTTTGTAATTTTGGAGATGAACTAATCTCCATCTAATACATAATCCATCGCTATTGCTGATGTAACAAGATGTTCTCATTTTAGGCTTCTCAACTTGTTGAAAGCTCCTGCCTGTCTTCTGAGAAATCCAATACATTGCTAATGTTATGGTGGATTTTATCATCCCCTTGACTACTGATTTTGTGGTTCGGCAAAGGATTGGAGGAAGACCCCAGACTTCACACATCAACAATTGTGCATCAACCAATTTCGCAATTTCGAATTCAAGTTGCTTTTCCTCATCGTCGCTAAAATCAGAGTCCGGATGGGAAAATTGGTGAAAAGCAGAGTCTGAAGGAAGTGAAAATTGGTGATGTTGTTGATTATGGTAACGGTCAGTGAATGAGTTGCTCCAGAATGAGAATAATAATAAGCAAATAATTATTATAGTAGCTGTATTCATGCTTGCTTCACGATCTTGATAAGAAAGGTTAAGCAAAGGTGTGAATATTATTCACAGAAATTAGAAAATTATATATAATGGGAAAATGGCAGCAACACTTCAAATCTGTGAAATTCCATCAACCTACCCTCTAATCACCATCTTTTGAGCTAGCTGTATAGCTAATAATGCAACCCATATCATCATCATCATCGTGCCCATGTGTCTGTATTCGCGATAGTGGATTGCAAACCCTAGACTCCCTCAGTTCCTCACCCCTTTCAAGTTTTGCAACCAACAAAAGATAGCAGCAAAACAGATCCTCATTTCTCTCAGCACCACCGAAATATACATCAAACTGACAAACTTAGAGCGTAAGCAGATCTATTTTTGTTAAAACATGGCATATTCATTCAACTCATTGAGCTGGAATTGGCAATGTGTTCTTCTTTTGTTGATCCACAGTGACACCGGAGATTCCATTTTTGGCTCCTTTTCTTGTCGTGATTAAAGTTTGTTGGATATGATGAGCTCATCACTTGGTTGTATGGTGACGTGTAGAGGTTTGTGTCTGTGTGTCTGTGTGTGTTAATTTATGTGTGGAGAAAAAGGGATATAAAAGTATTTGATGTGATGTGTAGCCAACACACATAAAAAGTGGACTTGATGTTATACTTCTGATAAGTATAATGCATGTGAAGTGTTTTTGCAATTAAAGAAGAAGATTAAAATAACTTATGGGGCGGGGTTTTTAATAGAATGTAGGGTATTAATTAAAAACAATACAATACAATTATATGTAACGTCTGCGTCACTTGTCACCTGGATTCACGGCGATATTCGATTTTGTCCCGGCCGTGAGATGGTTAGTTATAGTGCAAAACCTTATAGCGTTCTAGGTCAAAACCAAAAAAGCCAAGGAATGAGAGGAAAATTTCTTTGTGCTGCTTTCTTTATACTAATTAATTTACTATATATAGAACTTCCATTCCTTCGTAGAGAATTAAGGGGAATTATAATGATACATCATTCTTCTCATATTAAAGTGTGATAAATTGACTGNTCGAATATATAAAAAGATCAAGCTACTTAACAAAATAGACACTGTCATCATCCAATGTATCATGTGATTCAAATGTGTAGAGTACAAACCGCAGCATTTTCTTCATAGTATACCGGAAAATTTCCTTGGCTTCCTACGGTTGGCCTTTGCCTTTTTGATCGCCTTTTCGATGTCTTTTTGACAATATCCCCCAGCTTCTAAGAACTCGATGGCAATAGCATACAAGCCCTCGCGATGAGGCATCGATCTCACATCTGTCCATGGTGTAAATACAAATTCTCGATTCAATAAAGGGTCACGGCAAACCACTCCTACAGCTTCATAATCGCACATATTTTGAACCATCAGATCAAAATCCATGCGCTCTTGCTCGTCATCGA